CGCTGCATCCTTAGTATCGCTGCACCCTGAGTATCACTGCACCCTGAGTATCACTGCACCCTGAGTATCACTGCATCCTAAGTATCACTGCATCCTAAGTATCACTGCATCCTGAATACCATTGCATCCTTAGTATCACTGCATCCCAAGTATCACTGCATCCTAAGTATCACTGCATCCCAAGTATCACTGCACCCTGAGTATCAACAGTTGTACCTGTAGTCCTAGACCTGAGATCCTACAATATTATTCTGACTCATTGTTTTCTGATATTTTCTAAAAAAAAAATTAAAAAACAACACATAATAAAACAAAAACACATTAAGAAGATTTATGTTTCCAGTAAAGGTTTGTGTTCTGTAGGAATGGTAAAATGTGTATCTGTTTTTCTGAATGACCAGCAGGAGGCACCAGAGTACAGCAGAAACCCTGACAGCAGAGTCTGCAGCAACTCTCATGATCAACAAAACAACAGCACTTGATCACCAAAAACACACCTGGTTTCACATGAAACATTCAAGACCAAGAAAAGTCAAAGATTTGATGATAATTCCACTGAATTATCACGATTAAACAAATAAATGAATATATATTAGTTTAATATTTTTAGATAACCTCTCATTTTTACAGCTGTACCGCTGTATTTAGGTTTCTACAACCTCACCACCAGTTTTTATCTAAGAGCCAACTTGTTGAAAACTTTGCCTGCAGATTTGAACCCTCTGTAGGGTAGATATCCTCCTCCCACCTGTGCAGATTTGGGCCACATAAACCAAACCACAACCGGGCCAGTTTTGTAGGACCACTTTTTCATTGTTTTATAATGTTTTTTACAACTCCCCTTCACTACCAGCAGGTGGCGCTCCTGGAAATGATGTCCAACCCCTCTAGAATCACTGACAGACTAGTTTTTCTTGTTCTTGAAGCAGTATTTCACACATGAATACGTTTTCCAGCCTTTAATAGATACCTTGTTGAGGATGAGCTCACAGTTGTCCAGCGTGTGCTCCACCCGCCTTTTATCACCAAAAATCTTGTGAAAACTGAAAAACAAAAAAAGTTTGGTCAGACCCCTTCTTAAGCTTCAAGGTTTTCAAACTCTGTTCTCCGCTGAAAAAAAACGAACACCGAACAGACGAGACGAGAGTGAAAGTGGAAGAGAGAATTAAAAAAGTGGAAAAAGAAAGGAGAAGCGGCTTTTAACATCTCTGCAGTTTTTTTTTTACTCACTGCTTTAAATTAATACTCCCTTCCGTATTCTCAAAAACCTTTAGCTTGGTGTACCTGAAACAAAGGAGGAGGGGGACGAGTTTGTAAATGAATAAACAAATATAACAGTAAATTCTGCATTATTTAAAAAAAAAAAAAGGCCAAAACAAAGTCTTACGCTTTGAAAAGGTAGTTGCATCGTGATTCATTGCGGGAAAGTTTGTTTGTGGCAATAGTGAAGAGCTCATTCGCCCAAATCTGCAAAACAAGACAAAGTACGAGCGTCACGCAAACGGCGCTTCTTTCCATCCCAAGTCTTTTGTCAGCGTCAGTCAGAAAAACTCCACCAGGCAGGAAAGCTGTAAAGACAGACGTTTTTGTTTCGTGTGTATTCTGTGTTGGTTTCCATTGTTACCGATGCCATATCRTCCTGCAGGGCCAGGAAGTTGAGGAACGTGACGTTGACCATGTCCGAGCCGTACACGATGGTCAGCATTCTGTGCTGGGGGATCTCCTTGACGATCTCCAGCATGCTCTTCAACCGCTGATCCTGACAGACAGAAATTCAACAGAAACATTCAAAGACTGCGCCTGCTAAAAGCTCTGAAATGATCCAATAAATCAGGGAAACTCAAACTTTTTGGGTCTGAGGACCCCTTACAAGGGCAAAAAAAAAAATAAAATTCCAGGGACCCCCTATAAAAACCCTACGCTGTTTTAAAAAGACAATTTATTGTCATTTCAACCCCTAAATGTCATAGGAATATCAATTTTTATTTAGTTTATTATGTTTGTTTTATTAATTCGTTGTTCCCCATGAATTTAAAAAAAAGAATAATTTAGTGAAATTTGTTGGGGACCCCCAAGATACCTCTTGCGTACCCCTGGGGTCCTGGGACCCCAGTTTGAAGACCTCTGCACTAAATGACACTTTTTCTACTTTTTAGCCCATCGACTCTCTAAGAGACGACGGGTCGGTTATTCAAATTTCTGTTTCAGAACGTCTCGTTGCACTTCATCGCTCACCGGTTTACCACCAGTTTTTAGGTTGCGAGACGTCCGGGAGGTTTTTTGGATGAATCTTTTATCCAAACACCAATGTCCCCCCAAAATATCGCCTCGAACTTCATGAATTTGTTTTTCACACAGTGAACAGATTCTTGTCAAAGCGACAGAGGAAAAAGGAATTTACAACCATAGTATCTGTGGGTCATTACCAGTAAACAGTCGTCCGGTGATCTCGTGTTTATAGTTTGAAAGCTTCCAAAACACCAATGTTTTTACTAAACAAATAAAAAGGTTGACTCAGTAAATATATCTGTGTCATAGTTTATTACAGTAGTTTCTGTCCACATTTCCCCCAGGTTCTCATGTTGTTTTGTTTTACTGACTGTCTAATTCAAACTGATTATCTGCTGTTTTCAGGTTTAATTTCCCTAAAAGAGGCCTGGTTTCTCCTGACAGAACAGTCTGCTACAGAGGCCTTAAACAGGAACTGAATCTCCATCTCCACAGTTTTTGTCTCACTTGACCTCTCTGCAGCCTTCAAAGCATTTTTACTACCAGTGTCTTTTTAAGACGAACAACTCGAGCATGTCAGCAAACATCCATACGCCGAAGCCTCTCTGAAGGGATGCCACAGGGCACCATGTTTGGACCSCCTTTCTTTTTGTTTGTGATTTTTGGCTCAGTCTTCTGTTCACTTCTATGCAGATGAACTCTACTTTACTTCTCAATCTCGTCAAACGACYCCAGGATTCTTACACTCAGGATGGCAGATTGTGACTAAAGGCTGAATTATAATATTGTTTGCATGTCTTGTTTGCAGTGATGCATGAGGAAAAATGTACAACTTCCATTGTTAGCTCCTGCTGACACCCTGTTCAGTTATCCAACGTCTTCTTTAGCTTAGCGATGCCTCAGGTCACTGTGCCAATCTTAAGGTTTRCCAAGATTTAACACGCATGTCCGTCCGTTAAGTCCCCCCCCCCCCTTGTAATTTTGTAAACTTTCGTAAACATCATAAGTGGCAACTCATGAACCAAACCATAAGCGTGTCGACATGTCATTTTGCAGAAAATGCTAATTTAAATTAGCAAGATGGAATCTGCAATCAACATTCAAGTCTTTTCATATTCATGTTAAAAAAAATCCTCTGACCCCTCATTTAACAACACAAGCATTTCTCCACACATCTGAAACATCACTGAGTGACTAAAAGCCATATGCTATATGCGCTACACTGGGAGTGCTGTGGGAGGATTATGATGATTTATCCTGCGTGGCTTCTACATTAGTATAACTTATAACTGATCTGCTGCTTCAGGTCTTGTAGAAGTATAAACCAGCTTTAAAGTGCCTGTGACATCATGTTATAGTAATAAATATGAATGCAGTTATGGAGATATAACATTGATAACATAGTGCAAAAAAAGACTTCACACAACTGAGATGAACGGTTGTTGAGATAGTTGCATGTGAAGCAACAGGAAGTGATGTCGAAGGGGAATGTCATTATGAATAGAGCGTTGCTACATTGGCTAACAATWCAGACTGTAGAGAATAATCTGATGTTTATTTAGATTATTTTGAATCACTAYCAGATAAATGAAGAGTCAGAGTTCAAATAATATAATAAGCAAAGACCAGAGAGTTTTCTTTGTTAAAGAGTTCCCCTTTGATGTCACTTCCTGTTTCACTTTGGCTGAGCCAAGYTCAAAAGAAAATRTGCCATTTATGTGAGAMKATGGGTAAAATCATGTATTAAGCAAAGTTTTTTTTCTTTGACAWTTTATATTTGAAGTATACGTCACACTTTAAACCTACGTTCACACTGCAGGTCTTAATGCTCACTTGATTTGAGTTTCAATTGAATTCAAGTCACTTTATCCTGAAGTGAACACAGCCTTAGTTCAGCTGAACTCAGTTAAACCTCTCCCATCGATGTTTGGAAAGCTCAACATAAAAACTTGCTCTTTTAACACTTGTAATGGAACTAATACTTTTATGTTTAAGCAAGTAATTCATGACAACCTTTAATGAGCTAGGTTTTCACGACATGCTG